CCCATGTAGTCAACTGCGGTTCGAGTCCTGGACCCGGTGGCTTAAACTCACTCTGGGTGCATGTGCATGCGTGCCCAAGATCCTGAGAGGAGAATGGAGAAGAGATTGCGGCGTGGCCATCCACCCTGAGGGGTGATTTCTCACTTTCTGTCTTTTTGGCGAGGGCATGCGCCCCATAGCAGAAAGAAAAACTTCTCAGAAAAAAAAAAAAAAACATGATAATTAAGAGGTATGACTCAGGCTGACTGCCTAGTGGCTAAGGAAGCTGGATCCCTCATGGCTGACGACATGGTTCAAATCCGGGCTCCGGCAGCTTGACAAACACACTGAATGAGTGGGTGTGCGTGTGAGTGTGTGCGCCGAAACCCTAACAGAGTGGGGAGGTGGACAAGGAGAGCTTGTGGCTTGATCTCGCCTCACTGGAGGGCTTCTTTCTCCCTCTCTGTCTCTGGTGAGCACACATGCCCTCTGGTAATTAAAGAGAAAAAGAAGGCAGAGCTGTTCCAGATTAAGAGACCCAGGTTCAAATCCTGGCTCGGGCACTCCTGTGCATCGTGACCTTGGGCAAGTGACTGCCTCCCTGAGCCTCAGCTCTCGAGGTGGAGGGACGTCTCTGTCTCCTGCCTCCCTGAGGCTGAGTGAGATTGTGCCTGGCCCCTGGCACCCAGGAAGGACTCGAGCGGTGCTGCTCTTCCTGGCTGTTCCTGCTGTGAGCTGTCACCGGCCGTGCCCTGTACTGGGTATATTCCGTGAATTATGAGGCAGGCATTATTTTCATTCTAGGTTTACAAAGACGGAAACTCAGTTGCATGTATTGGGTTGTTGGAAAAGTCCCGATGCGTTTTTGCATAGAAAAACACGTGACTCTCCAGTGATCCAGTAGTTCAGGAACTTGCCCCACCAGCTACACCCGCAGAGCTGGGACTCGACCCTGTGATGAGCAGCAAAGCCCTCTTCCACGCGCCCCCCACCCGCCCTGGAGCTGGACCACTAGCCTCCTTGTTCCCACCCGCCCTCCCTCCGGCTCGCATCCTTAGGGACTCCACCTGACTCCCCGTGAGGCTGTCGTGCTCTTCCCAGGAGACACGTTTCCTTTCACTGTGTTTGTCCAGGAGCCGGGCCTGGCGCGAGCCCAGCCCATTAGCCGGAATCTGCCGTGAATGTGGGGCATAATAAATACAGGTAGCCCGTTTATGAGCTGCCGTTTTTATTATGCCCCTTAATTGCTAAACAGCCAGAGCCGGCTGAAGCGGGAGCCGGCCCTGAGGAGTGCCTTTGCTGGCGTGGGCAGAGGTGCGAGAGGCGGCAGCCTGCCTCCTGCACAGACCTCTCAGCCTCCCCCTCCCCCGGCTGCGTCTGCCCCAGTCAGAGCCTGACGCGAGAAATGGCCGCAGGAGGTCCCGCTCTGTCCTTTACAGATGCTGCTGCTACGGTCAGGGAGAGGGTATTTCTCCAAGGTCACACGGTGGTGGCTTGCAGAGCAGGCGCCTGGGGCTGCAGACTCCTTGCACCCCAATAACTGCTCCTGGACCCGCTGGAGCACAGGACCCGGGGCCGGCGGAGTGGCGGTCGAATCCCGGTCTGCGTGGATGAACTCTGCGATGCGGGCCGGGCTGCCTGACCTCAGTGTTCTCATCTATTTAGTGGGCACAGTGCCTCCTGCCTCCTGGGCTTATCGAAGGACCATACAGGCGTGCATCAGGAAGGGTCCTTTGCTACCCTCCTCCCCTGGCAGAGGGCACAGCCCAGAGAGGAAGAGAACGCGGAAGTGAACAGCCCCGCTGCGGCCAGAATTCTTGGCCTCCATTCGTTAGCTGTAGGGGGTACAGGGGACACGACTGCCCTAATGCCCTAAGGGTCTTTATTCAGTCCAAAGCACAGGCAGCCCCTGCTTAGTCCCAGGAGGGCACAGCCAGACTCCCACTCTGGGATGCACAGGAGCACCGCTGGTGACACAATGTACACTCTGCGATGGGGACAGGGCGGAGGTCAGGGTAGGTCTTGGGAGCATCGAGGCACTGAGCTCAGCTCGGCAGGAACAGGAGGGGAGAACCAGGGAAGGCTTCGTGTAGGAGGTGATACCTGTGCTGATTGTGAAAGATGACTAGGAATTACATGGGTAGAAAGACAATCTAAACAGAAGGGATTGACACCCGCCCATACAAGATCAGAACTCTTAAATAATAAATCATAGACATGAGGACTTGGGCTGGATGTCTCCAGGAAGACCTGGCATTCCCCCTCCCCCATCCGTTTTAAATGAAGCCTTTGGGTGCTGCTGGGAGGACAAAGGCTTTGAGCCCAGGGTTCTGGTTCCAATTTACTCCCTGATTCTTTTTGCAAAGCCTTGGGCTCATCACCAGGTGCATGAGTGCCTCAGTTTCTCCCTCCCGAGAAAGTAAGAAGGGGCTGCCCAGGGGGCTCAGGGCGTCTCTGTCCTGGCTGCGATGCTCTGTGGCCCGCCTGGGGGTCCTCTTCTCAGCTGTCTTCTCCCAGGCTCCGTAGGTGAAAGCAGAGCAGCTAGTAGGTGTCACTTTTTTTTTTTTTTTTAATTTGCCAGAGGTGTGTATTCACAGGGGGGAGACAGAGAGATAGAGAGAGAGAGTGCGGAAGCACCCTCCCTGGGACATTTTCCAGGATTTGGGGCACACACATACATGCCTGGCATAGTTTTCGGGATGCCAGGTCTAGACTCGAACTGCACAGTCCCGACCTTACCAGCCGGTCCAGCCTCCTCCACCACACCACCACCTGGCCCAGGAGGTGCTTCTTTGAGAATGAGAGCCATCAGGCCCCGGGGTCAGACCCAGATCAGAAGCCCAATGTGCCCGTCAGACCCTCCTCATGGGCAGCAGGTGCCTGTACGGTGTCCGGGCCACTGCCTGGCCAGTCGGCTGGTGGACAGACACTGGCACATTGGAGGAACCATAGGCCTGGAAGTTTCCTTACCTTTAGCTCCGGGACGAATCACAGCATCGGAGCTGGAGGGTGCCAGTCTGGCTTGCTAGGGAGGGTGTCGGGCTGTGGTCTGGGCAGGAGGGGCAGGTCTGCTGAGGCTCGCGGTCGGCCCCGTGGCACTGACGGTGGGCTTTGGCACCGCCTCCTGCAAGCTGTGTGGCCTTGGGCAAAACCCTTGCCCCCTCTGGTGGTTTACACACCTCGCGGGGCCGACATGCAATGACCCTGGTGGTCTTGGGAATACTTGCCTCTTCGGTGGTTGCCAGAGTGAGATGGGATCGTGTGTAAAGCACTTGGCACGGAGCCCGGCTGCCCAGACGGTACCTATTATTCATAGTAATAATAATGAACCTCGCGGCAACCCTGTGAGATAGACCTTGCCAACCGTATTTCGTGGATGAAAAAAACTGAGACCAGCCATACCCTGTGGGAGGACTTGGGGGCTTTAGGGAGTAACCAAGCCCCGCGCCCCCACGGTGCCCACTCCCGGCACGTACTTCCAGAACTCCAGCAGTCAGGCACAGTGCTGGGAGCACCCGGAGGGACCTGGACTGACTTGGGTGTCAGCCTTGCCCCTTGCCAGCCATGGGGTATCGGACATGTGGCTTTTTTCTAAGCCTCAGTTCCCTCACCTGTTGCATGGACCTCCAATTCCTGCCGGGATCCCTTCCGGGCTGTTAGGAAGAAGCTGTGAAATACCAAATACTGAATGCACATGCGCCTGGTGCACCTGACCCTGGGAGCAGGCGTGTCTGCAGTCCCCGGGGTGGGGAGGCTGTGGCGCACTGCCTTCCACCCCCAGGGCTGGCAGGCTGCAGTGCTCAGGCACCGCGGCTGCCTGGACAGTGTTTGGTGAGGGGCCAGGGCTTGGGGGGAGCTGCCCCTGCAGTAGGGCTTGGCCCTCTGCAGAGGCTCCCGCACCTCATTTTTCATGCGATGCCCCTCCTCTGAGGCGCCAAGGAGCAGCCTGATCAGTGCCGTGGCCGCAGTGCCTGTAGCGTGGGGCCGAGTTTTCCAGACCTGGGTTCTTACCTGGCTCTGGGGCTACACAGGTCCCACAGGCTCTGAGCCCCAGTTTCCTCGTCTGCCAAAAGGAAGGTGACACCAACAGTGGAGGAACAGCACCGAGCGGCACCCACGGGCGCTGAGCATGGGCCACGCAGTGCCACGCGCGTCAGTGAGCAGCTTGATGTCAGTTCACCTTTCCATCACCCGAGGGGGAGGGTCTGTGATTTATGTATTTATTCTAAGGTGTCCGTCTTAGGGTGTATGTGCTCCCCCGAGAGAGACAAGACAGGCAGGGAAAGCGAGAAATTGCCCCCCAAGGGGGATGGCCACACCACAGTCCTCTCTCCCTCGTTCAGCTCTTGGGATTTGGGGCACACATAACCAGAGTGATTTTTCCAGACACCAGATTGGGGACGCCAACCTCAGGGCTGGCCATGTGGGAATCCAGCACCTTAACCACCACGCCACCTGCTGGCCTGAGAGGTTCTGTTTGTTTGTTTATTTTTTACTTTTTTTTGAGAGAGAGAGGTTTTTGCTATAGGGTATGTGCACTCGCCAGACAGACAGAGAGAGACAGAGAGAAATCACCCCCCGGGGGGAGGGTCACGCCGCAATCCCTTCTCCTCCATTCTCCTCTCGGGATCTTGGGCATGTATGCATACACGCCTGGCGTGAGTTTAAGCCACCGGATCCAGGACTCAAACCATGGTTGGCTACATGGGAGTCCAGTGACATAGCCATTAAGCCAACTGCTGGTCCCACAGAGGTTCTGTTTTTAATCTTTGCTTTGAAATTGGAGAGAGCGAGACTCAGAGAGGGGGAGTAACTGGCCTGGGGTCACAGGGCTAATCAGTGGTAGAGCTGGTGGGGCCGGCCTGAAACCCGGCAGGTTGGCTCCATCTTTCTTACTCCCGACCTCAGCCCTGGGAGGGCAAATCACCCTTCCTCCACCCACCACCGGTGCGCTGGCCTCTGGGGAGCCTGGGTGCTTTCTGGGTGGGCCCCAGCAGGACTGAGGCACCTGTGTCCCGTAGGTGGAGAACCATGGAAGGCGACTGTCTGAGCTGCATGAAGTATCTGATGTTTGTCTTCAACTTCTTCATATTTGTAAGTATTCCTGGGTCTCCGGTCGTCTGCCGGAGGGTGGAGTCAAGGTGAGCCCTGGGGCAGGAAGCAGGGCCAGGGCTAGAGGCCGATGTCCCTGCCCAGCCAGGTTTGCATGGAGGGGAGTCCACACAGAGAACACCCCCCCAGAGAACCCAACCTCACAGAGACGTTGTCCTGGGCCCCAGGATGGCTCGGCTCTCTGGCTGTGGGGAGCTTAGCCCCAGCCATGGCCTTGGGACTGACTGCTGGCGGGGAGTCGGGAGGAGAAGTGGGTGAAGGTGATCAGAGGTCAGCAGAGGGAGTCCTCCAAGCTCACCTTGAGAAGGAGTGACAGAATCAGAGCTGGAGGGGCTCGGCCTGCGTAGCCACTGGGCGTCATCGGAGATGTCTCTGGGCTTGGGAAACCTGGCTCACACCCCAACTCACGCCTTCCAGCTATGTGAGCTGAGACATGTGCCACCTCTGAGCCTAGATCCCCCATTGCTTAGGGACCTACTGCAGGTGCTTTTTGGAAAAAAAAAAAAAAAAACAGATTTTTGCCTTAGGACACATGTGCTTTCCAGAGAGAGACAGAGACAGTGAGAGGAAAAGTGAGAAATCACCTCCCAGGGGCGATGGCCACACCGCTATCCCTTCTCCTTCCAGAATCTTGGACACGCACACACATGCGCCCGGCACAAGATTTAAGCCACCAGGTCTGGGACTTGAACTGCAGCTGACCACGCGGGAGTCCAGCAACGTAACTGCTATGCCATCTGCTGGCCCCTCAAGAGGTCTTTTTTTTAATTGTCTTTTTTTTTTAAGTTGACCAGAGAGGGACAGAGAGAGAAGGAAAGTGAGAAAGCAAGCTGCCAGGTCCAGGACTCGAACTGCGATGAGCCATGTGGGAGTCCTGCCACCTTAACCACCACGCCACCTGCCAGCCCCTCAAGAGGCTTTTTGACAGTTGAGCAAGATGAGTTCAAGGAGTGCTAAACATGGTCCACACTCCTCACCCGGCCAGTCCATCCTGCGTGACAAGTCCGAGGCTGGGACGTGGCGGCCTGTCCTGCTGCACCAGCCCACCCCTGGCTCCGCTCAGGCCCAGGCCTCGGCCAGCAGCAGAGCCCCGTCCTTGGCTCCCCGGCCCCACAGACTTTCCTGAACCAGCCTTGGCCTTTGGTCCCAGCACCGCCAAGGCCCAGATGAATGGACCCTCCCTGACGTCCTTCAGGACCGCTGGCTGTGCAGGAGAGGCCAGGGCCGGTCTGTCTCCTCAGTCTGTCTCTTACCCTTCCAGTGACTCCCTGGGTCCCTTCCCTGCCTGGTGATCCTGAAGAGCTGGGAGTCCTGGAGATTCGAACCCTAGCACTAGCTCCCCACGCTCCAGGCTCACTCTTCCCCAGTCTGTGTCCCCACCCGAGGTGGGACTGGCCCACCTTGGGCTGCCTGGGTTTGTGCCAGAGCCCTCCTGGAAGCAGAACTTGGCATTCGATTGCAGACTCCCGAAACCTCCCATGGTGCGGGGAACAGGAGACAGGAGACCCCGCCCACCAGGCGGCAGAACTGGAGAGGCTGTCATTGACCACTCCCTCCACGTCTCCCCACCTCTTCCCTGCTGCGGGGTCCCTCGGGCCCCTCCGCTCCACGACCCACCTGGCCTCACTGCCTGGCCTGGCACAGCAGGCTCCTCCTCCCAGCTTACAGACCACGCCCACCACGCCTGCCCCCCAGCAGCTTCCCCTGGCCTAAGCCTGTCCTTCCTCACAGGTGGTCTGGGGGCCTTGGCCCTCCGGCCACAAGAGGGATCCAAACCCTGTGACCCTCACATCCAGTGGTGTCAAGCTTTGGTTCTCCCAACGGCAGATTCACTTCCACTATTGTCCTGTGCCCAAGAAAGACAGACGGTCCACTGAGATCTGCTCAGGCATTCACCGCGAGCGGCCCTTCCTTTCTGGGGCTGCCTCGGGAAATGGGAGTTCAAGTCTCTCTTTAACCAGAGGATGTTAAGGCGCAGAGAGGCTAGTCCACCTACCTAAGGTCACACAGCTAATAGGGGACACACGCCTTTCTCTAGACAAGCTGGCTCTCTCTAGGACAAGTAAGGCACAGAGAGACGGGCCACGAGACTAGGGCCGAACGAAGGCTCCGAGCTCAGATTTGAGAGGGGGGGGTGGCTGCCCGCGGAGAGCACCTGACCGAGCCCCCACCAAGGACAGCGACCGTGACTTCCGGCTGCCTTCCTGGGCGCTGGCATGGCGGTGCAGGTGCGGCAGGGATACCGGCATATCCACAGACCTCGGCTGAGAGCCCTGGGGGCCGGAGCCAGGGAGGCCTGAGATGCAGCCCGCTGGGCCAGCAGGATTAGAACTGGGTTAGGCCCGGTCCTGTTACATGGTGGCTTGCTGCGTGGCCTCTGGCACATCATTGGCTCCCTCTGGGCTTTGGTTTAGAGTCGGAGGGGCGTGGGCTCTAGGGCCACAACCCTGCAGCTCTGACGCTGAGGGAGAGGGTAAACGTGGCGGGTGGGCTCTGCCTGGCCTGGTCCTTGGCTGCGGTGGGCCGGTGTGGTAATGGGATTACCGGGACCCGGAAGAATCCGAGCAGTTCGAAGCCCTTCTGGAATCCTGGCCCCGAGGCAAATGGCATCCCCACCCAGCTCAGCCAGGCTCCGGCCTGTGCCCAGCCTCGCTCAGGGAACGGTGCGTGTACCGAGGATCTAACCTCCCATCTGCCTGTTTCTCCTCCTCGGTGACCTGCTGCGGGGAGCAGTTGGGAGGAGCCTGCCTGCTGGGCGTCGGCATCTGGGTCATGGTGGACCCCACCGGCTTCCGGGAGATCGTGGCCACTCACCCGCTGCTCATCACGGGCGCCTACATCCTCCTGGCCATGGGCGGCCTGCTGTTTCTGCTCGGCTTCCTGGGTTGCTGTGGGGCCGTCCGCGAGAACAAGTGCCTGCTGCTCTTTGTAAGTACCCACCCGCCCACCTGGGTAACCTGGCGGGAGCCGGGAACACTGCCCCCAGGCCCTGCCTCGTTCCATTCCAACCGGCAAGTGCCTCCCGACCTCGGAGCTATCAACGCCAGAAGGGGCACCCAGGGCGGCCTGTTGCCCCATGTGTGGCAGTTGATGGGTCTGAAGCTCTAAGAGTTCAGGGACCTGCCCAAAGGCCCGTGGGCAGCAGGGACAGAACTGTGGTCTTAGGCAGGGCCCCTCCAAACCTTCACGAACTGGCTCCTTGGGGCAGCAGCTGTTTCCCCGTCATGCCAGGGCCCTAACTTAGAGCACACCGAGCCTGTGTCCACACTGCCGGGAGCACAGAATAAAGTCTGAGCCCAGCAAGCTGTCCTCCAGGGCCGGGTGGGCCAGCTTCTGAGCTGCTCTGTGCACGGGGCCAGCGCCTGCGCCTTGGGCCAGCTGCCCCGGTGGAGAGCGGCCTCGGCTCCAGGTGGAGAGTGGACTGCTCCAAGGCACGGCTGGCCAAGAAGGCTGGCCACGTGCTTGTTTACTTACCATTTTCTTTTCTTTTTTTAAACAAGAGATTTTTGCTTTAGGGTACATGTGCTCACTGGAGAGACAGAGAGACAGAAGGTGAGGAATCACCCCTAGGGGGACGGCTGCACTGCAATCCTTTCCCCTCTTTTTTCCTCCCAGGATCTTGGGCACACATGTCAGCGTGAGTTTCAAGCCTCCAGGTCTGGGACTCAAACTGCAGTCGGCCGTGTGGGAGTCCAACGCCCCAACCACTATGCCACCCACTGGCCCCCCAATGCTTTCTGTTTAAAACATGAATGTCTATTAGGTTTACAGCACATGTTTTTCTTTTCTTTTTTTTTTTTTTTTTTTTGGAGAGGTTTTTGCTATAGGGCACGTGCGCTCGCCAGACAGACAGAGAGAGACAGAGAGACAGAAAGTGAGAAATCACCCCCCAGGGGGGATGGCCACGCCGCAATCCCCTCTCCTCCATTCTCCTCTCGGGATCTTGGGCATGCACACACATGCGCCCGGCGTGAGTTTAAGCCGCCGGGTCTGGGACACGAACCATGGTCGACTACGTGGGAGTCCAGCGACATAGCCATTACGCTAACTGCTGGTCCCCAGCACATGTTTTTCTATGCAAAGGGGCATCGTGACTTTCTCAACAGCTCAGTCCTGGGGCAATAGCTGTGTTAGCGGCCGGAGGAACCATTCACCTGCCAGGTTTCTGATTCTAGACTCGCTGTGGGCTCTCAGGTGTCTCTCCCATGGCATAAATAGTCCCAGAGCACCCGTCATGGCCCCCTGGCGCTTGCTAGGAGCACCATGAGACGGGGTGTGGGTGGCTGTGGGCCCGGTGCAAGCTGGCAGCAGACAGACTCAGCCCGAATGTTCCCTGCTCCGTCCCCAGCTGTGTGACTCTGGCCAGTTCCATCTGCTTTGAGTCTGAGAGTCCTGGCCTGTTCATGGGGGCTCTGGGCTGATCTGTTGGCTGGAGCCTATGCAGGCCAGCGTGGGTGTGCTTCCTCCGGTTTCTGTGGGCCTTTGCTTACTTCCCAGGGCCCGGTGGATGGGCCTTCTCTCTCTAAGAGGTCCTGTGACCCATGGGGCTAGAACTGGGCTGACGACAGTCCTGGCACATTGTAAGTTATAAACAGCCCCAGGGCCAGCACGCAGCGTGGAGGTTAGGGTGACTGGATTCTACTCAGTTGACTGCACCATTCAACTCCCAGACACGACAGCTTGAAAGACACACCAGACACGTGTGCGTGTGTGCCCAAAATCTAAGAGGAGAATGGAGGAGAGGGGATGGTGGCGTGGCCATCCCCCCAGGGGGTGCTTTTTCTTTCCCTCTCCAGCAAGCACACATGCCCTATAGCAAAACAAAAACACTGTGACACAGCCCTGCTGGGAGAAGCATGGGTGTGGTGGGATCAACATGCAGACACTTGGAGTGGGTGTGGGTGGAAGCAGGGCGACAGGGAGGCCTGGCTGGCCAGCTGGACGACGGGCAATTCTCTGTCTGTTCAGTCCTGTGGCCGGCTGGGCACTGGGAGGCAGAGATCAGGCCAGTGCTGCCTGCCCACATTAGAGCTCCAGCGTGGCCTCCGTGGTGTCACCGCGAGATGTCCCCGTGCATCAGCTATGCAGGAGTAACGCGGGAGCCGTGGGCCCTCTGTCCTTCGGCAGTATGAGCACTGCAAACTTATTCCGAGAAAACCCAGGAAGAGCTGCGGGCGCCCCCTGCTGGAACATTCCCTGCCATGTCAGTTCACACTTGGCTCCTGGCTCAGGCAGAGGGGAGTTGAAAGGGATCAAGGATCTGGGGCCCAGGGCATAGCAAACCTCCCTCACCCTCCTCACTTGGCCCCGGGGTCTCGTTCATTGTTAATGGCCACGGCTCTGCGCCAGGCAGGAAGTCTGGCCGCGCTCTGGGCTGGGAGGCACTGCAGGCCTCGCCCACCTCTCCAGTCTTCTCTGCTAAGTGGCTCCCCGCAAACCTGCCAGCTGGACGGGACCTCCACTCCCCAAGGCGTCTGCAGGAGAACACTGCGGCCGGGACAGGGGCGAGCTGCTCTGAGTCCTCCAGGAGGAGGAGAGTCCTGGCTGCCAGGCGGGGGTCCTGTCGTGGGCCCTACTACAGGCCCTCCCCCTGCCATCCCAGCCTTGCCCTGCCTGTGTCCCCCTTCACTCTGCTCAGCTCTGCACAGCCGCTTTCTCTCCTTCCTTGTCTCTGCCCGTCTCTCCCACCTCTCTCTGCTTCTGCTGTCTGCCCCCTTTGCCCTCCCCCTTCCCCTCCCTCCTCCCACCTCTCTCGGAGGCCCAGTGTGTACAAGCCTGAGGGGACAGTGTGGGAGAGGCAGGGGATACGTGGGTCCAGGACTCCTGTTCTCCCAGACCAGGGGAGTCCAGCTGCTCCTAACCTGGAGTGGACCGAATGGTGCAGAACTCACCTAAAATCATGTGTGTGCTTGTGTGTATGCACATGTATGTGTGTACGTGTTGCACGTTTACCAGGGCTGTCTTCTCATACATGTGCATGTGTGCTATGTGCATTGTATACGTGTGTTACGTTATTTTGTGCTGTGTGGTGTGTACATGTTTACATGTGCACATGTGTGCTCTGCTCTACCGTACTGTATGTAAATGTGCACTGTGTTCGTGGGGGCTGTGAGGTGTTACCGTGTGTTTCAGAGGAGAGGCATCACAGCTTCTGGAAGGCTCTCAAAACCGTCCATGACCTCCGGCCAGCCCAGGGCCTGGTGGTGAAGGCAGCTGGATTCTCTGACGGCCAACGGAGCGGTTTGAGTTCCGGATGCAGCAGCTTAAAAAATGCGCCAAGCGTGTGCATGCGTGCTCAAAATACCGAACGGAAGTAGAGAAGGAGGAGAAGGGATTGTGGTGTGACCATCCGCCACACTCTCTCTCTCTCTCTCTCTCTTTCTGTCTCTCTGGCAAGAACATATATCCTCTGGCATTTTTTTTTTAAGTTCATGACCTAAAAAGGGTAAAAAGAATCATTGTTCTCACCTGCCCTGAACCTGGCTAGGTGGTGGTCACTGAAGGGCAGCATGGACTCTCACCTCTGGTAGCCTCGAGGGTCTTCTAGGAGCCTGGAACCACCTCCTCAGCCGGCCAGGGGAGAGGGAAGGCTTCTCTTAAGAGGCGCTGAGAAAGAGTGGCTTTAGCCACCCGAAGAGCCTTGGCTTGAAGGCCTGCAGAGAAAGGAGGCCTGGAGACGTGGGCTCACCGAGCTCCCCTCTCCTCTCACCAAGCTCCCCTCTCCTCTCACCGAGCTCCCCTCTCCTCTCACCGAGCTCCCCTCTCCTCTGCTTGGAGGCTGAAAACCTGCAGAGCCCGGGAACAGTCCGCCTAAAATCAGCTGAGCTAAAGGCGCATGCCCAAACAGCCCCGCTGCTCGGTTCACATCATTCTCACGCCAGAGGGCAGTCTCAGCACATAGTGGTCAGATGACATCCGTGTTTCCTTAGTGCTACCTTTGACTATCTCAAGAATCGTTTTCTTTAGGACCAGCAGAGGGCATAATGGTTACATGGCTGGACTCCCATAGTCGACCTAGGTTGGAGTCCCGGACCCAGCACGTAAAAGTTACACCGGGTGTGCATGAGTGCGTGCCCAGAATCCCAAGAGGAGAATGAGGAGAAGGGATGAGGCAAAGCCATACCCCAAGGGGATGACTTCTCGCTTTCCATCTCTGTCTCTCCTACGAGTGTGCCCTATAGGAAAAAGTCTCCAAAAAAAGAGAAAAAAAGCTGTTTTCAGCCAACTTATTTAAAGTCTACAATTTTAAAATATTTTACAACAATGGTGTGCTACCTTGGGAAAGAGGGGAGCTGAGTACATTCAAAAGGGACGCTCGAGCTGGCCTGTCCGCACGCTCTGCACGGTCGGTAATTGCGTATTACACATGAGAACTAGAAGCGGACGTCGCATGGAGGCAGAGGCTTAGAGACGCCCAGAAGTGCTCAAAAGTAGGCGGAACAGTGGCTTCCACCCTTTGTTAATTTCCCCATTTCTCCTGTGCAGAGTGTCATAGTCAGACGTTCCGGAATTACTGACACTTAAGGATGAGGTTAGGTCCCCTCAAGGCCAAGGGGCCCTGGGAAAGGCCCTGCTCAGGGGATGCCCCAGGAAGCACCAGGACAAGCAGTGACTAGGTCCAGGGGCGCTCCCCCCGAAGAGCCAGTGGTGAACTACGTTAAGCAGGAGGAAATGACTTCAGGCTGGATAAGGACGAACTGTGGAAGTGTCCCTGTCACAACGTAAGCCCCGTGGCTGTGCGCTTTCCTCCACCGTGGCATACTCAAGGCGCCCTGCCGGCCCTGTGCTGGGAGATGCGGCTCCAGTGGGAGCAGTGGGGGGAGGCCTGCAGACCCCCTCTGGGAGGGCCCCACTGTGACCATCAGCGTTCGTTCTCCGCCCCATGTCCCCACGCGCCTGCTTGGTACGTATCTATCAATACCCAGCCCAGTGCCAGCACAGTAGCTGCTCGAGAATCGGCCCTGGGATGAGGACGCAGAGAAGTGTACTGGGGGTCCTGGGGTGTGGGTAAACGTGTGGGCTTTGGAACCACGGCCTTGTGGCTTGGCGCTGGTGTCTAGACTGTCCTGAAGCTCAGAGCCTGTGACCTGGGGAGAATACCTCCTTCCCGCCACAGAACTGCGCCCACGAGCTGGTGAGAGGACGGCCTCTCACTTAGCTCTATCAGGCACCCGTGCCTGGAGATCGGGAAGTGGCAAGAACTGCCATTGAGCCACAGGGGGCTTTTCAGGCCATCCCAAGCCTGAGAGCCTGGAGCCTCTCATGGCGTCCAGGTGACGTGGTGTTAGGCGTGTCCTGGAATCACAACAGGTAATGTCTCGGTGTCCCGCCCACCAGCTGTGCCAGCTCCGAGCCACCGTTCGCCATCGGTAAATGCGGTGCTGCCGCCAGCTGCACTGCCTCGCCGGCTGCTGGGCGGACCGCTGCAGGGATCCCGCTGATACACGGAGCCGGGTACCGAATGCTCAGTGCAGGGCGGCTCCTGCGTTAGCGCTGTCTGGGGGTGGCTGTGCTTCCCCTTGCTTCTCAGCAACCATCCAAGCAGTTCTGAAGCTGTGCTGACCCTGTGCGAAGCTGGGGTGCTAAGTCATCCTGGCGCGTGCACACGCCCCAGGGCAATGAGCTCAGGGCACGTGAATTTGCAGTCCGCCCGTCCATAATCTATGACCGTCTGGGCACCAGGGTGGGTGGAAACTGTTCCTCAGGCTGTGCTCTGCCAGGGGTGTCACGAGAGCACAGGGCGAGGCTCCTCTGAGAGGCCACGTGAGCGCGAACAGGACTAGCGGCCATCGCCATTAAGAACGGAGGTGCCAGGACTCCAGCCAGGGCCTCGGTCAATGTCACAGCAGAGGAGTGGCCATGTAGCTATGCTGCCCAAAGCCGACCCACCTCCCAGAAGCCAGGGTTACGGGGTGACAGAATGGGCTGCAGGTGTCATGGCTGAGCGGCCTGCCAGGACACAGGAGGCCCTCGGTCACTCCAAACTCTTCTGGGGAACTCTGACTTCCAACCTCAGCCCAAGGTGTCCAGCCTGGTGCTGAACCTCTCATCCAAGTTCTGGCAGGCCACACAGCAGCCCCCCGCCAGGCGGTCCCCGACCTGTTGGGACAGACAGGAGAGTTACTGACAGACCAGCCGCTGAGCCACGCCTCAGCAGAGCACAGGACGGCGCCCGGCCCCAGGAGGGATTGCACACCGAGGAAAGGGCTGGCCCTGAGCACTCTGAGCCTGGCGCCTCGCCACTGGTCACTTCCCTTCTTTGCTTTGGTTTCCCCAACTGTGGAAAGTGAGGGTGAGGTAGAAAGGAATCCATGAGAAAAGCAGCCATCGCGGACACCACACCCTGAGGCCGGTGTCTGTGTGGGAGGCGGCTGCTCCCGGGCAGACCCTGCCGAAACGTCGGGGCGGCAGCCTCTGAGCAGCATGGGGCTCTGGTGTGAACACGTCTCCCCGAGTCCACGGGGTGAGACCTGGCTCCTACCCGCACAGCATGAAGAGTGGAGATCGAGGGGCCAGTGCATCCCGTCACTAATGACAGAAAACACCTTAGCCTGGATCGTGTAATGCAGAACTAGGGGCTGACTCAGATGGCGTGGCGGTTACATTGCTGGACTCCCACATGGCTGACAGCAGTTCAAGTCCCAGACCCAGTGGCTTCAAAATCACACCATGTGCACGTGTATGGATGCCCAGAATCTCAAGCGGAGACGGGATTGCGGCCTGGCCATCTTTCGGGGGTGATTTCTCACTTTCCTTCACTTTCTCTCTGGCAAGTGCACGTGTCCTAAGGCAGGAACCTCTGAAGAGAGAGAGATAGAATCGCACTGTGGTGTTGAGAGGTGGGTCTTTGGGAGGCGATCAGGCTAAGATGGGGCTGTCAGGGTGGGGCCCCTGATTGGCCCCTGGGGGCTTTATGAGAGGAAGGACAAGACAGGACACACGCGCTCTGCTCTCGCTCTGTCTGGCCATGTGAGGCCACACCCCACCTCTGCAAACCTCCCCCACCATCCATGTGGCCCCTGACCTCGGACCCCTAAACCATGAGCTAAACCTCTGTTCTTTTCCTTCTTTTTTTTAAAGGTTTTTGCCATTGGGTGCACGTACTTGCCAGAGAGAAACAGACAGAAACGGTGAGAGGAAAAGTGAGAAATCACCCCCCAGAGATGGCCACACGTAATCCCTTCTCCTCCACCCTACCCCCCCTTGGAATCTCAGGCATGCATGCTCCCGGTATGAATCTCAAGCCACATTCAGGACTTAAACCACAGTGGGTCACATGGGAGTCCATTGCCTTAACCATCATGCCATCTGCTGGGCCCAACGTCTGTTCTTTAGAAATGACCCAGTGTGGAACTCAGACATGAGTGACAGCGTTCGACATGAGTGACGGACAAGCAGACTAAAACTTGGAGCGGGATGTCAGGGAGGGGTCCGAGGCCAGTGTGCGGACCCAGGGATGAGGAGTGAGAAAGTCACCCCTTGAGCTGGCTCATCTGTTTCAGCCGGGTCCCTCCTTGGGCGCGGACAGCTGTTCAGGCCTAACTGACAGGTCTGGGAGAGGTTCTACATCCGGGTCTAACTCTGTCCTGAGGCTCTTCCCCCCAGGACCTCCGAGGGGCAGGGGCTGTCGAGCGGAAGGTCAGAGAAGGAGCATGGTTGGGGTCTGCCAGGGCAGCGGTTCA